CCGTCAGGGATTAACAAAGGATGCGACACCTGTGCTAGATGTGAGCGGGAAGGACACGTGTTTGCTAGGATGGTGCATTAGGGACAGCGGTGTGCAAAGCCCACTGCAGCACTTTAAGTCCCACACGGCCACACAGCACCCCCTGGGGACCTGTGTGAGTGGCACCATGCAAGTTCTCTCACAGACTGACTGCCTTTACTCTGCTGACTTTCAGAAACTTGCTTCAGACATCACCAAGTCATTGTTCTCCAAGCCCCACCTGCCAAGGACAAGCCCCATGCAGGCAGGCAGTGGGGTTGGACAGGTGTTTCCTTTGCCTGTATTGTGAACTTCACTGACGCTGAACCGGTGAAGGCTTGATGTACTTGACTGCAACTCTGATGCCCCTGTGTGTGTTTATTCACCTTCCAGGTGAAACCAGAGCAATGCCTGGATTTCATGTGTGCGGAACCAGTGTTCCTTTCGTTAAGTGGGTGCATGTACTCCTGACCCCAGAGCCCTCGGTAAGTAAACCTCTACAGGAAGTTACTACCTCATCACACTTCTATGTCTCTCTCCACTGGAGCATGCAGAGTACTTTACCCCATACATAATAGGATTAATCTTTAAAAGCATCATCTTCATAAGCAGACAGAACCCTCTCTGCCCTTGAGGGGAAGGCCATCCAGGGAGGTTATTCTTTCTGGTGATTGAACGCTTGGTATTTTCCTCTCTCTTCCACATGACTGAAGAGGGGCTTTTGTAGAGCATCAAGCGGAATTGAACTGAAGTCTTTCTCCCATGATTAATTTTGCCTCTTCAGCCACCTCTGGTACTTACAAGTATGATGCTTAGGATAGCCTTGAAGTGATGACATCAAAGCATTAGACTACAGAATTTTTATTTCTTTTCCTTAAATACAGGGTCTTGCTATATTGTGCAGGTTGGCCTGAGATTATGTGATTCTCCTGCCTCAGCCTCTCATGTAACTGGGACTACAGGTGGGCACCACCACTCCTGGCTCTTTTCAGCATTGGCAACTTTATCAGCTAACATTTACTGACAATGATCTTTTTTGAAAAATCACTTATCAGTACTTTCATATCCTCATATTTATGTAAAAAGATAATACATTAATCTTAGCCTGCAGCACATAAACTTAGGTATTTTCTCAGACATAGATCCTTGGGAAATTAAATCAAAAGTAACAGAGGAGAGCTGGGAGTGTAGCTCAGTGGTAGAGAATGTGCCTCTTATGTGCAAGGCCCTGGGTTCAATCCCCAGTACTACAAAAAGAAGGGAAGGAGACAGAACTAATAATAATCATCACCTGATCCAATTCATCACTATTTCTACCTCTTGGGACCATATATGAACTTTATCTTCATATTTATACACCTAATTTCAAACAGAAATCCTTGAAATACTGACACGCTTGAGCAGCTGCACTTGCAGGGATGCCCTAGGCTTCTGCCTGCTGAAGGACGCTCAGGGCTCCGCTGCTGCTCCTGGGCACTTGTGAAGCAGACCCAGAGTGCCCCAACCCCAGTCAGCCAAAGCCCTGTCCCAGCGCAGTCTGACCCTGTGCGAGCAGTGAGCGGGATGGAGTGTGTTGTTGGGTTTCCAGCCGAACAGTGTGCAGAAGCATAGGCGCTAAGTTTGGGGTTTTGGACAAGCATAATTTCATTTCCATCCCTTTGCCCTCCAACCAAACCTCGCCTTTGGAGCTCAAATACAATAGTGAATGCGTGAGAGAAATGTAATGTGGAAGAGCAGGGGCACAGTACCTGCAGACCAGTGGTTTAGCTGAGCCAATAGCCACAAAGAGTACAGCCACGCAGGCTGTTAAGCCAGCTGCGTAACTGCAGTACCAGCTGCAATGCAGAGCCACCCAGCTGCGGGCACCCACCGTGAACACACAGGGAAGCAAATCTATTAGAATCACTCTTCTTGTGTCTTCTTTCAGAAGCTCCTCCTAACTTTGTGATAAAACTGAGTTAATTTCTGGCATTTGAGCTATTCTTGGGATTTTTCCCCTGGTCTAAGTCATGGTCACACAGCTGTATGGAGACAGGGCAACATTACAGAACCCTAGCGTCTTTCAAAGCTGGCTGCAAACAAGGCCTCTGCAGGCGGGAGGGTGCTAAGTTACATCACTACAGAGAGCTACGCTCTTCTCCTGTCTTTCCCAGACTAAGCATGAATTTGTAAGCCCAAGTGATCCTCCTGCTCAGTCTCTGGAGTAGCTGGGAGTACAGATTTTGTTTTGTTTTTTTACTTACCACTGGGCTTTATCTATCTCAGCTGAATCATCTAATTATTATTTGTGTTAGCACATGCAATGGGCAAGTAAGGGGAAAACAAATTAAAATTATAAGGTATGTGAAGTTCTTGACTGGTAATAGTCACTCAACTAGTAGTAGATATGGTTGTTTGTTGTTTTTCCATATACAGGTAATATCCAAGGCAATTAATCTTTCAAAGTTGAACAACTATATAAAAACAATTATATACTCACAGTGGATCCCTTGGCATAACTAACTTTATTCTACTCTTTGTTTTAGAAATAGAACATTTTGTTTTGCATTGGAAATTAAGTTTGTACTTGATTCCTAAGGTACCATATTGCTCAGTGGTAGTTATTTTTATGTGTAATATCTCAAAGTTGCTGCTTCATGGATGTATGGCCTCCTATACTATTAGTGTAAACAGTAGTGGTAGGTTTCTTCACAGGCCCTGTTTGTGTTTTAAAGGCATAGTGTCTCCAGTATTTAGGAAAAGGTCCTCAAGGCATTTGGTGACACTACAGAGCCTGCTTACTGAGAAAGGAAAGCACAGTTTCTCCCCGCAAGCAAAACACAGAGCTTGAGTTATGCAGTAAGTTAGCCTAGAAACACCAAGATTGTCTAATTCCAGTCAAAGTCAGCAGGACTTTTCTGCATAGTACTGGATTTTAAATAAGGGCTGTTTCATTTACTTTCTGGAGTGCTTGGCTGGGCACAGAGAAGTGAAGACCGGAGCTCCCACAGGGGACAGGTGAGGGGGCAGAGTGTAGCGGGTTTCTTTCCGTCGCAGAGGGGGGCTGACATTACCAGAAAAGTGTGGACACTTTAATTATAAATTGGAGGCATGGGTGTTTGAATAAAAGCATAGACAGTTTGCCTTTTGTTGGATTTTAAAGAATTGCGAGGTATTTCTCTTTGGGATAAGATGGAAGACTACTCTGCAGGTAGAAGGAAGAGCTAAGTCAGAGCAAATGAGGACCAAGACCTCACAGTGGTGTGTGGAGAGGCTGTTCACCGTCTCATGTTCCCCAGCAGACCACGCTGGATGGAAGGAGGGCCCCGGAGAGCATCTGCTGATGCAGAGAGGCATTTGGGAAACGAAAATATTACTGTCTTACTCTCAGCATTCCCCTGGATTCTTCCTATGTGCTATATTAGAGTTTCATGTTGCCCGAGGCTGGGCAGTGTGTTAGAGAAGAGGGACCCAGCTCACAGCCCTGGAGGTCTGAGACGTTGGCTCTGGGCTTGTGGATGCTGTGGCCATGGTGGGACCTGTGTCAGAGGGTCATGGGCAAAACTGGACACGGGAGTGGCAAAGGGTAACTCTTGCTCTGTTATAAAAGCTTGGGTTCACAGAAAGTCCCCACAGCCCCTCAGCTCTGTGTTAATCTCCCTGGTGATCCAGTTATGTCCCACGAGGGTTGACTTCTTCAAGCTTCACTGCCTCTCAGAGCTGCCACCTTGGGTACCACAGGCCTAGCCCATGAAACCTCAGGGTGTTCACCCCTACAGTGTCCCCACCAGACCATCGTCAGGAGGGGGTCATCACACGCTGGCTCCCTGCTGTGCGAACAATGTGATCATGCTTATTTGGACTTCACTTCAAGTCAGTGTGATTCTTTTGCTTTTCCTACAATTTATAAAATACCCTAATGCACTGTTCCCTTCAAATACATTACATCCTCCAACCCTTCTTTCAAGAGGGCAATGTAAACTATGCAAAAATAGTACAAGATCTGGAAACTCTTGGCCTGTTTTCTTGGGCAAGCATCGGAGAGCAAACTTGCTGAAGATAACATGTCTCAGTAGCACGCAGCGAATGAGGTCAGATGATGTGTTACAAAGCGTGACCCGAACTGCTTTAAGCACTGTGCAGTCTTCTGAGCAGCTTCAGTGCTCTGGTTCATGAGGAGAAGCACAGAAACTCAAGTACCTGCAAGCACAAAGCCTTCACTTCTCATACTGTGGATGTAAAAACATTCTTAAAACTGGCTTCACACTGTCTCCCACCTCTCCAGAATCTGTTCCCCGAATAAAGTCTCCATACCATGGAACAAGGCTGGGTATGCACTCAGTAATGCAGATACTTCTGGTGTTTTTTGTTAGAGTCCCACAGGAATGCATTTGTCTACACACAGGAAAATATTGTTTTGACAGCATTAATTCAACTTAGTGAACAATGTGCCTGACAGTTTATGGCCTACTTCCCTTTGTGACCAGTATCACATTTTACAAGTAGTTAACTGGAATTGCAGGTAACTAATTGGGTTATGAACTGCAGGGAAACAGAACTGATATTCTTGATCTCACTGTGTTCTTTGTGTAACTTAGATATCATGACACAGGCATGTTTGGGTGTGTGAATGCATGCATGAGTGTGTGAGCATGCATGAGTGTGCATGCATGTGTTTATTACAGCCCCCTTTATTCTAAAAGTAACTGGAGGTTGTTAGATTTATGTGAGTAATGCACAACAGTCCACAGCAGTAGTGGCAAACATATGGTTTTCCTTTAAGACAAAAGATGTTAATGTATGAGTTGTTTTTTCTAACTAAAACCCCAGTACTCGGATTTAATTGCAGCATCTGTACTTTGTGATAAATCAAGTGGGTTTAGGGTTGCAGTTTGAGCCCTTCTCTCTAAAAGGTTCGCCATCACTAGTCGATAGGCAACACATGTGAAGGTGAACTTCTCGTGTAAATTTAGAAATAAGCATTACTTTCTGTTTCCTCTTGCAGCTGTGAGGAAGAAAGCCAGCGTCATCACTCCAGTCCCAGGAGGTGTGGGCCCCATGATGGTGGCCGTGCTTCTGAGGAGCACCCTCCTGGCAGCTCTGACGGTCATTGCTAGAGCACAGGGAAGAATGCAGAACGGTCACTGATTGACACACAGTGAGAACCTTCCTATTTACTACACAGCTACTTATTTCTGTTATTGTCTCTTTTTTCATGGATGGAAATGTCATGAAGGAGATGGTTCACAGTTTTCGCGTTTACTGCTAACAGAGTTGGAATTTTAGGGAAAACCAAAACAATGTGAATGAGAATTCTGTTACTCATTTCATGGCTGTTTGTTCACCATGTTAAAACAGTGAAGGGTTCCTAGTGAATACAATTTTTTTTTTTTTGTCTTTTTGAGACAGGGTCTCCCTATGCAGTTCAGGCTGGCCTTGAGCTCACTTTGTAGCCCAGGCTGGTCTCGAACTTGCAACGATCCTCCTGCTTCAGCCTCCCAAGTGCTGGGATTACAGGCATGAGCCACCACAACCGGCTGTGAATACATTTTAATATGGTGCGATATCACGCACGCTACGTTTTAACAATGTTGTATCAGCTAAATGTGCACCCATTTAAGATGTAATTTAGGTTTCACCATAAGTGTGCTGAGTTTATATATTCTATGTTTCTGTCAAATACTGAAAAAGAGCTTACTTGCTAAAGGAAAGATGGAATAGTAAAATAAATCCTGATGTTGGATAGCTCCCACATGCAGCCCACAAGGCCACCCCAACGAGAAGTGATATTCTGTTGAAGGAAAAAAAAATATCCAAGTCAGGCGAAAGACCCAATGTCATTTAGAAAGTGGTGATTCTGTCACACCCTGAAGGCCTATCCATCATGGTCATATGTATGCAAAATGTCTTAGGTTTAGCATTTCTTTCTTCACCTAAGAAAGTATTTGAACAGTAGTTTCACTGAAGAATAATGGAACAATCTAAAACACATACGAAATAAACTTAACATTGTGTTTTTCCACCAGCATCAGAAAGGAGGCTCTCATTAAAGGGCTGCACCTGACAGGTTTGTTCCCAAATTCAGAAACTGAAGAGGAAAAGATAGTGCTTTCAACATGCTGAAACTACGTCTTAGGACACAGCTGAAAATCTACAGCTGCATATCCACGATTCTTCCCACTTCTCTTGTGGCATTGGGTTCTCAAAAAAGGTGCGGGCTTTCTAGCACAATTTAAATCAGGAAACACATGTGAGCAGTAGCTGAAGCTAACTTGAGACCACTAAAGCATGGTGTTCACTTCTCATGTACCAGTCAGGTATGTTCATGAACCAACAATGATTCTTAGTTAATATGTGTCTTTATCAGTGTGTACTCTTGATCATTTTGTGAAAAGAGATTTGATGTTTAAAATTAGCAACATGCCAACAATAAAGCAATTTGAAGAAAGACATCCATGCTGTCTCTTTCTTTAAAGGTAGCTGTAAGGTTTTCGGTTGTTGCTCATACATTTGTTACATGCATGCTAAAAAAAGAAATGTAAGAAGTTCCCCAAACATGAAAGAAAAGACCTTATAACAGATTCCACAATCAGTCCAGAAAAGTCTTTGTCCAGTAATCCTGGCAGAAATTTAAATCCAAAGTTAACAAGCACATATTTCAGAAGGGGTCTCTTTTAAATTTTAAGGGTCCTTAACTCTCCCTCAAAATACAAAAATATGAAGACCGTAGTTTTGAGCCCATGTCTGTGGTGCAAGAGAGATTATTCTGGAATAATAGTCAGGACTCAGCCTGTCTAGAGACTAAGCATGTACTATAAAAGAAAAATTCTAATAGTTGCTTCGAACTGTAAGGAAGGCTTTATTCAAGACTGCTGCAGTGGAGGGAGATCTACAGAGAGGAGAAAATGCACTCTGCTGTGTACGCAGCAAAGACAGCTGGAGATCCCGAGCCCCTGAGCAGAGTGGGTCAGTGGGCAGGAGAGCACTAAAAGGACCTTGGTTGAGTGTCAGTTCCTGTGAAGCTGGCTCATTGGCCTTTTGATAATAACAGGGCACAGACTAAGATATCGAGGGGAAGAGGAACTTGATCAATACGAGGGTGCAGATTGGGGTGAGGTCCAACACCCGCTTCAGCAGGACTGCGCTCTGCTAAATTCAAGCTCAGGGGGATAAGGCCAAGGCCTGTTGAGAGGGGACTTTCCAAAGCGCCCAGCTAAATTTCACAGGAAGAAGTCTTTGTCAACCCAGAAAAGACTTCTCTGGTGTCACGACATGCATGGAGTCTGTGAAGTGCCAGCAACCAGTGGCTTCGTGGAGGAGATGGACACAGTGTCCTGTGCTGTCTGTGTTGATGAATAGTCTGTTCCCAGAGGAAGAACAGGTGTCAATATCAGGAGGATGGGAAACTGGGAAGGAGCTCAGAACCTGCCCAGGACAGCGAGGGCTGCCTTGCTGGTGACGGCAGATGAAAACGAAAGGCGTGTGTGGAAGAGTGTAGGGGGATGAAGGTGGGCTAACTTGCCAAACAGACATGCAGAAAACAAGGCAGAGCAGAAGGCAGACCACACTTAGTGGGCAGTGGGGGCTTCAGGCAGAAGCGGGGACTGGCGTTGTAAGTGGGTGTGGATTTTGGAGAACAGACCAGCTGTTCAAGCTTACAAGTTGAGCTTGTAATAGGTAAGTAAAATCAGAAATAATATCGGTGCCCAGAAAGGACTGGCATCTTTGCACCCATGGTGCAAAGTTAGGCTGCATCAGCACATGTGAGCTATTGAGTCCCTGCCCTTCCTGGGTCCCGCACGTGGATACGAGCAGCCATTGCCCCAGCCTGGGTACCTCTTATAGGTTAAGTGCTTCTCTTTCTTTCCTGTCTACTCTGAGGGGAGGATCCTTTCCTTTTTATGAATGTTCTCTCCCTGACAGGTGAGGAAATTGGCCTTCTGGATTATTAAGTCCCCAGGCAAGGCCTGATGGAGGGGAAAGTTGGGATCGGTTTAAAATAAGATCTGTCAGAAAGAGGGGAACCAGACCCCACGTTCTCACTGCCTCACACCTCTGTCTTTGATGACCTTTCCCCTAAAATCCTTTCTCCTACCAGGACAGTCCACACCCAAGAGGAGTGAGTGGGGCTCTAGTGTGGGCCCCATAGAAGGGCAGTGGCAGCAGTGACTTGGAGCTATTTTCTGGCACAAACTTTAAGCCATAGTGGTAGCTGAGTCTCCATATGTAATATTTAGTCTCTTGTGATAAAATTGACTTCAAAGATAGTGAAAGGGACTCCTGTCAGTGCCCAACTCTACCAAAAGACACAGCTGGGGAAAGAAAGTGTAGCTGAGTAGGAGTCCAGGATGCAGCTGCAGTACACACTCTGAGTCATGTTATTACTGACGGCTAAGTTAGGTAGAAATATTACAGGCAGTCAGACAACCAGACCTTCCAGGGAGTCAGTGCGGAGGCTGAGCATACATTAGGACTGTGGCTGGAGGTGCGTCCATTAAAGGCCAGGTCTCAAGATAAAGACAAAATGACCAGGCCTACCTGCCTCCCTGAGAGATAAGCAATATACTATAATTGGTAACCTGGGTCCCCTAAAGTCTAGATAGAATCAGTTACCCAGATGGGTGACCTGGGCCTCCTAATTCATGTCTTCCTAAAAAGGTCTTTGTCCTGTCTATACACACTCCCCACGTGACCTGCTTCCCCATTGGACCATCTTTACCTAAGCAGCTTTACTTCCATCTTTATTGGTTGATTATACCTTTTTTTCCATGTTGTTCCCACCTCATGATTTTGCTCTGAGAATTGGGCTTGCTGAAGACCACTCAGGCCCCAACCTGTTTCTCAGAAGCTGTCTCTTGCTCAATCAAATTTCCTCCTCTTAACCTCTGTTCTGTCTTAAAATCCACCCTTCAATTTTAGAGAACACAAACTCAACCTTTTTAACATGTTAGAGTTATAGTATTTCCCTTACATTACTTAGAGGTTATATATCAATGTCTTTTGGCAAATAATGTAATTCCTTGCCTTTTCCCCCCTTTTTTGTGGTATTGGAGATTGAACCTATGGTCTCACAAATGCTAAGCAAGAGCTCAATCCCCAAGATGCCTCATTGCCCTGACCCCACTCTGTTGTTTCCATTTTTATTTTGTCATCTGAAAATACAGTTAAAGTCAGTTATTTATTTGTTTACACATTCAAGACAACTTCATTATTTACTCTCCATCAGGCTGTGGATTTATTTGGGCCAAGGTTACTAAACAAAGAATCAAGATGTACATGAAAATCCATAAAACCTAATAGGTTATGTGAGCTCCAGTTAATTGTTACTACAATTAATTATGTTTCTGTCTCCCAGTCTTAGAAATAAAGAGATTTGGGCAGCAGACTGCATGGGAAATACTCCAAAGAATCTACAACTGGCATCTCATCTTATTAAAAAGCTTTTGCATAGTAACAGAGTGAAAAGAGAAACTGCAGAGTGGGAAGAAATTTTAGCCAACTGTCCCTCAGACAAAGGATTTTTATCTAGACATACAAAGAACTGAAAAAATCAGGATCCCAAAATTCAAAATTGGGCATCTGAGATGAACACACACTTCTCAGGTGAAGAAATACAAATGGCAAATAAATAGATGAAAAATGTTCATCATCACTGGTCATTCAAGAGATGCAAATTAAAACAACACTGAGATTCCATTTCACCCCCCAAAAGAATGGCTACTATCAAGAAATCAATCAATAACAACCGCTGGAGGAGCTGTGGGGGAAAAAAGGAACCCTTCTCCAGTTAGTAGGAGTGTAGACTGGGGCAATCAGTGTGGAGAGACCGAAATAAACTAGGCTTAGTGGTCCCATTTGACTCAGCTATTTCCCTTCTGGGTATCTTTCCAGAAGAATTAAAAACATCATAGCACAGTGATATATTTGCGCCCATGTTTATAGCAGCACAATATGTAATAGCTAAATTTTAGAAAAGCCTAAATTCCCATCAACTGAGGAATGAATAAAAAAAGATGTGCTATTAAAAATGTAATATTTATAGTATGGAGTACTACTCAGTCATAAATAAGGATAAACTTGAGGATTTTATAAGTAAATGGACACAACTTGAGACAATACTCAGTGAAATAAATCAGATACATATGTGTAAATATTTTCTCCCTGGTGTAAGAAACTAAAAGAGCAAATAAGGTATAAAATGTACAATAAATTTTGTGAGTGACAAGAAATTGTTTAAAAGGAGAAAGGAACTAGGTTGGATAAAAGGGGAAAGGACAGTAGGGAAAAGGGCAAAAGAGCAGGTCAGTTATACTATTAGTGTCTCTTCATCCATTGAAAGGGAAGGTTTCTGCTCCTATCAATTGGGGAAATAGTTATGCCCCTATCTTGAACTCTGAGTAACTACTTCAAAGATAACGTGTAATGCATTAACTATTGTTATTCTGTGACTTAGAAAGATATTAATTGGTAGAATGACAGAAAGGGAAATGTTATAATATTAAAAATAATTACATTTAGAATTGTCAAAAGTGAACCTAAGTAACAAAACCTAAAAGGAAAATTCTTTTAAGCAGACCTGAGACTGGAACTCAGGGCACCTGCAGGCTTAGCAGCTGCTTCCTCAGCCCCTCAAATGGAACACTAAACCTGGTTTTCCACAAATCGAGCTCCTCTCCTATAGCTACACTGACAGAAGATTTTGTCTGGCAATGGAATTCAGCCTGTCAGGAAGGGAAAACTGACCAAACACAGTGTGAGGGGGGGATTTGCAGATGCCTCTTGGGAAGCTGTCAGCAGAACTAATAAAATTTTAGCTGCACCAAGGGGGCCTTTCTCGAATGCTCGTTCTTTGCTGTTGTGTTACGAACTTTGTCAGACCCAAGCATGCCCACAGGTAGCAGGAAACCAGTGTTTCAAAGCCAACCTGATCGCACTGCTAGATAACACAGGCGTCCTCAACAGGTGCGGGAGCGCCCGCCCGGAGCCTGTACGCCCGCTGCTGCCAGAAATGCATATTTTGTTGATTGGTAAGAACTGGCAGATGACGCTTCACGAAATATAAATGCAAGAAAGCTGCAGAGCTCAATAAAACCTGCTACCTGCCAGTCTAGGAGGTTTGGAGGAAGTCAAGCAGCCACCAGGTATGGCTCTGGGAGTTCCTCTGTCAGTCTATCTTCTCTTCCATGGTAGGTAATCTCCTTTTTGTTTCATTAACTGTGTGTCAGTAGACACTGTACGTGGAATTTGTTTTCTCTGAATTGGGAGGAAAGTTAGCTTCTGACAGTTGCTTATGACAAAGATCAGGGCAAGGAATCTGTGCATTGATTTAAGGTTTTAGGAAATGTATGTTTTTTTAATGATGTATTTCAATTTCTCTCTTTTTAAGAACTCTAGAATGCTTGCTTTGCACAGAGAATAGTTGCTAGCATTTACCCACTGTAGCACAGTGGAGAAATACTTCCATTGAACTGATACGTAAATGTCTTCACTTTCTTTTAAAAATTACTGTTTCTGTTGCCCATAATTAGGAGGTAGTTAGGGGAACACCTGGAAAACTGCCCTCGTTAGTTCTGTATTTCAAGTGTAATAAATCAAAGACTGAATGGGAAATGGGAATGAGCAGAAGGAGACCAGCTGTTTCCACTAGTCTGGAAAGAGGCTTACCGCACTCCCCGTTCCCCCTCCCCTCCGTACAGCACTCACCGCCCTGACTGCTGACGCCGACTGGGCTGAGACCTCTCAGAGCAACAAGACGACTAACGAGACCCAAGGTACTGTCTGCCCATCTGGGTATTCCCTGTGTCTTCTTTAAAACCTTTGTTGGAAATCCGGACTGTGATAGAGCCCTACTGGAAATTTCTAAGTATGATCGGCTTTGTTTCTTAGCAAGTCAGTGTTAAACTGAAGTGACAGGTGGATGGATTAGCCAAGAAATGCCTTTTGCAAAAGAGGGAGTGAAGGAGAAGGAAGAGCTGCCTCCAGCGCTGTCCCTAATGTGACAGCTGCTCCTCCTGCTGGCGTTCTGCTGGACTGGGATCTGTATGTGTCCCATGGTGGCTGTCCTATGCAAGATTCTCAATGACAGAAAGATACTGATTTGTGGCTGTGTCCTTAGCAGCCAGTTTATGGCTACCCCATGAAGTATGTTCCTCATCCTTGGAAAAATCCTTTTCTTGTTCATTTTTTGGGGAGCCTTTCTTGTTTCAGTCCCTGGTCCATCTCCTAACCACGCATGCCCAGTTCCTGTTGCTTATGAGATTTCTTCTGTTTTATTATTAATACGATTATTAGCAGCTCCTGGCTGCTGTGGACATCAACATTGCTTTCAAACCTTCTTAAACTGGAAAAGAAAGCTTGGCCCTGTCAGGACTGAGTGGTAATTCACGTGCTGTCTCACAATGCTTTTGGTGTGATGACCTGTAGTGTGACAGGGACAGAGGAGACACTGGATTTTGTCCTCAGAGCCAGGCAAACAAAAGATGGAGTCAGATATTTTGTTTCTAAATATGAAAAACAGTAATACTTAATTGTTCTTCATTTTACCAAAAATGATCCATTTGAAACAGCTTGAGATATTTTACTCTTTTGATTTTTTTTAAAATATCAATTTGCAAAGCAACATCCGTGTGAGCTTTAAAGAAAATTTCAGCCAATTTCTGCATGTCTTCTGAGCTTCTGAGTGAAGAGTGAACATTGTTATTAAAATATGATCAATAATATTGTAGAAAGGTGAGAGAGGTGTGGTTTCCACAAGTCACAGATGGCGTAGTATTATTCCCAGTGCTATCCTTTTCCTTCCTGCAAATAAAATTCTCCAAATTACACATAATAAGAATGGGAAAAAAGGAATTGAGTGTCATCTGTTTTTTTTTTTTTTTTCCTTCTTTCTTACTAGAGAACTTTAGCTTCTCCCTTTGGTTTCTACTTGACTTAAAAATATGAATCCAGCATCTAAGAATTTTTCATAAAATTATAGCTGATATTCTTCCCAGGGTAAGGACATCCCTCTTATGATACAGCTTCTTTCCATCTTCTTGGTTTCTAGTGAATCTTGTTCCAGGCTTGCTTACCTGTCCAGTTTGAACAGAAAAGAACTCAGCCTAGCTTTCAGTGGGAAAGTCTCACTGCCTCTGAATTAATTTTTAAGATGATAAATTTGCCACATCATATTCAAAATGAATGTGAATTTTAAGGTAATATTGTGTCTTCTCAAGGTGATGCTACAACATAATCTACTCCTTGATGGTACTTTGGTACCTAAAAACTCTATATTTTCAATATAAAAATATTGTTTTTAGATCTGGTTTTTTTTCCCTAAAAGCAAATAAGTAGGATGATTTTAATCTCTTTAGCAAGGCAAATATGGTGTTATAGTATAATAGTAATCAGGAGGATTAATTCTGCTTGGGAAAAATTTAAGAATTCATCTTGAAGTATACCAAAAAGGTATCAGTTTTGCAGTTCTACACAAAAGCATAAACACCAAAGACAGTACAGGTATGTCTGGCAGCTCCCGAACCACCACATTTGCCTAAGCATTCCTTCCTGAAGAGTTCCGCTTGGAAGTTTCTGGACATTGAACTCCAAAAGTTATGAGCCTCTGTGATACTTGAATGGTGTTAAAAGCTAGGGAAAAAATAAATAAATAAACCCTCCCAAGTCCATACCTTCTAGCACTGCTTCACATTGCCTCTTTGTTAAGTGAAATTTTAATTGCTATGTGAAAGTTCTGACCTCAGCTAGGACTAGTGTCTTGTGTGCAACACAGTAAACGCCACAGTAAATCAGCAGGGAACTTGTACCCTTTCAACCAGTCCCCAGGGAAGTAATTCTATGGGAGGGAGAGGAACAAAGTTTACTAGCAAACTTAGCCACTGGCATAAATCCCAATCTTCCAGAGTGCTGACTGCAGCTAGGGGAGGAAATGCAGAGATAGTGTGAAAACTACCTTTATTCAAACACTCCAGGATCCTTGTTCCAAACAACCTGCTGTGCCCATAGCCAGTGCTGCCACCTCTTGGCACACCTGCCTTTCAGTGTGGTTTCTAGTGGAGGATGGTCAACCTACCCTATCCTCTGATTCATTAATGATCTGTCAAGAAGGCAACTCAGCCCACGACAGGAGTCTGTAGTCCAGATGACCAAGAACTCCCCCAAACCCTGAAATTAGGGGTCTCTTCATATGATCACTGGAAACTGATCATGGAAGCTGTACTCATTCCCTCCATTCACATGTATCTGTCTCCTTTTCATAGCTGACTCTGTGGAAGGCCCCGTAGCTCTGAAGTTCTCACACCCCTGCCTGGAAGACCACAGTAGCTACTGCATTAATGGCCTGTGTGCCTTCCACCACGAGCTGGACCAGGCCATCTGCAGGTAATGTGGAGCCCAATGGCTGCAGGGAGCGGGGCTGCCCTCTGCATCTTCACACAGCAGTCCCCATTCCCCTCTCTGTCCTGCAGATCTCAGCGTGGCTCACCAGCTCTCCTGTACCTGAATATCTTAGGAGGCTTTTCCTAAACTGCTTAATCCGCATTGTTCACAAACATGATTCCCAGATTGGGGGCATCTGTGGACGTGCATTTTTTTTTTGTCCTCAAACATTAATTTTTTTTTTATTTTATGAAAAGTATAAAACAAAATTTCATAACAAAATGCAATAGTTAATATATTACATGTTGTTATCTTTAAAGTAGTTGCTCAGGGTACTTTTTATGGTGAAAATATTCAAAATCCATTCTAATAACTTTCTGAAATATACTGTACATTATAGTCATCTATAAACACCCTATGGTGCAATAAACCTTTGTTCCTATCTAACTATAGTTTATTACCCATTGATCAACCTGTCTTTAAGCCTCTCTGTCCTCACAACTCTCCCCAGCCTCTGATAACCACCATTCTACTCTCAACATCTGTGAGATTAGCATTTTTAGATTTCCCACATGAGGGAGATCATATGTGGACCTGCATTTTTAACAATAGAAAAACTCAATTCTTAGTTTTCCTAGGATTGTGTAGGATAAAGTTTGTCTAACGTAGGAAAGCTTTTTGTAAATTTAAAGTTCTAAAACAATTACACCACTGTTTTTATAATCACTGATCTGCTCGATTTTCTTGACAACATTTTCTTTCCCATCTGCCATAAAGAGGAAAATATAAGGCCATGATGAAAGAATTATTATAAGGTTTATGAATGTTTCCTACCTTTAACATACTGGCTTTCTGTTGGTAGCTGCCTCTGTAGTTCAAATTTCTTTCTGTGGCGGAGTAGGGACCCTGGGGATTGAGGGCTTTTGTCCTGAGCTGCCATACAGCATTTTTTGTTTCTGTCCTTAAGACAGAGCCTCACTAAACTGCTGAATTGCCCAGGCAGGGGTTGAACCTGTGACCCTACTGCCTCAGCCTCCCAGAGTCCTGGGTTTTCATGGGAACCTCCAGGCCTGTTATTTTTTCCTCATTCTTCAAATATGTCATTTTTTTCCACTTCTGTCATCATAGGTTTTACAATGATTTATCCTCTTCTCTTTTCAAAGGTGTTACACCGGTTATACTGGGGAAAGGTGTGAGCACCTGACCCTAACCTCATATGCTGTGGATTCCTATGATAAATACATTGCCATTGGGATTGGCGCTGGATTACTGTTAAGTGGTTTTCTTGCTATTTTTTACTGCTACATAAGAAAGAGGTATGAAAAAGACAAATTATGAAGTCAATTTGCATGTGTACATACTCATTGAACCCCTATCAGGACTGGTTATAATAGGTTTTCTTGTTTTTGTTTTTGGTAGCAAAAAAAAGGAATTTAAATATCTGAGAAATTTCTATATCATATTTTAATTGCTTTTCTCATAAACCCAGAAAAATGGTAAAAAGTGACTTCAATTGCAACAGGATAGTCCAAATTCACAATTTCCCGCCTATTCTTGTCTGCCTAAGTCAAAATCACAGGGGAAAGGAGGGCAGCAGACCCCAAGAGGGTCGGAACCAAGCACATCTTGCTGCAATGAGACTTCCAGCCTTTAATTCTGTGCCTGGTACACAATGGCCACAGACGGAATATTTGGTGACCTAAAACAAAAATCAAAAAATGAGTACTGAATGAAAATATGTGGTAAATACCGACTACCTACTCCCCAAACTTCAGCTGGGTGATCTTTGGAAGAAATCGTTTATAGCTACAGCCCAAGATGATAAACTTGACCTACAAATGAGTATACACTGCTTATTTCTAGTTTCTCCACATGCACGATTATTTCTTAAGTACATGTAAGTAAGAATAAGTCAAGAAATATTTTGAAACACATTAATTTTTTAAAAACACAAATACATTCCCCTTGCTCTACTTTACTTAGCTATCACTTTTCAAATGACTAAACTTGCCTGCCCAAAACTAGGCTAGTTTTGCTAACAACTCATCTTAGAGAAAATCAAATCCATAAAGTTTTATAACAGCTGTGCATTTGTCAAAGAGACCAAGAATAATAAGAGGTGCGGAAGAGACCACCCAAAGGGTACCCCTTGCCTCAGGGTGGGCTCAAGCAGTGCAGGGTGGGAGCAGGGGCAGAAAAAACTTTCAGGGAATCCAGTTTCTTCCTTTGCAGTTAGGTTCCTGCCACATAATGGCAGAAGGAAAACAGGAAGAGAGCAGTAGGCTTAGAGCTGAGATTGTCCCTCCTCCCTCCCGATTCCATGCAAGACCCAGAATGTGGGCCGGATACCACTGATCCGGCCCACTAGGATAGGAATCTTGGATTTAGTCAGTTAAGGGTCAGAAAAGCCCATGGCAGGTGTGTGTGTGAGATCAGGACTCTTAGTGTGGTGCACTATGGTGAAAACTAATCCTCAGGAGAAAGACGTGAGCCTGTGGATGCCACAGCTATTAGGCTGGGTCCATCCGTGGCCTTGGGGACTGAGTAGGTTGCCATGTGCAGCCACTAGGACCCTGCATGGGTAAACTCACAGTCATCGGTGTGAAACCACTTTCTGCTCTAGGTGCCTGCCCCTGAAGTCTCCCTACAACCTGTGCTCTGCAGGAAGACAGCCACTGTGAGGCCCTGAGAAGACATCGGATTGCATTGAGTCTTCTGTGAAAACCTATGGGCCTCAAATGGAAATCTGCAAATGACAAGAAAAAGTAGCATGCGAGGTAGACCTGAAAACAACAGAAGCTAAGATCATGGTGACATCAAAGGATAAAACTCAGCACTGGTCTCCAGGCTTTGCCACCCTTGGGTGTCATGGAGCCAAGTGTACAAACTGCAGTGGCAGAGGTCACATGCCTACTCTTCAGTGGGTGTGTGGTGTGGCTACTGTTCTTGCTGCAGAAAAACTGTCTCATGCTTCTGATTGGGACAGAGGTAGGCCTGCCTGGAAGTAACTCAGCCTTGCAGCAGGCCAAAGCAGTGCCAGGACTGGGCTCTCTGTGCTACCCACCACTGTGACCACCCACCTGGCTCTGTCTGTGCACTCTGGGCCTGCTCCCAAGCCTTCTGCTTCCCTGGTATCCAAATGATTTGATGTCACCTTTTAAATGAGATCAGTGTTGAGTACCTCCAGTGAACTGAGCATGTGTCTCAGGGCCAGTCCACAGGAAAGAAACTGGAACGTCCAAGGGAAACACAAAGCACACCCAGCTTGGGACCACGCTGTGAGGCCTTTATCTGTGAAATATGGAAGAAGCCAAAGAGGACTGACAGCTATCCAGATATCAAGTCCAGAGCAGGCCAACATGTCTGTTCCTGGGTGGATGATGGATTGGCTTGTCCCACAATGCTTCTGTTTGTTACTTCTTGAAATTTCCCTCTGTGACAAAGGTGGCATTACCAGGTAACCATTCATTTGGACTGAACTCCCTAACAATGAACAGTCTACAGTTGGCTCTGAAACAGAAACTGAAGAACTAGGTAAAGGAATTTTTTCAATTAACGACATGTGAAAACATCTCCATTTCTGAGACCCTGTAACAGATTTGGACAGAGAAAAAATGAAGCAATGGTAGAAACACAATGGAGGATCACGTTTGTTCCTTTTAAATTGTAGTTCTACTGCATAATTTCAGTAGTCTGTGCGGGTTCCTTAATTCTATTATGCTTTGGTTTTATTTTCTACATGATCCTTGTACCTCTAAACTCGGATAGCAGAGAAGCAGATGGTGGCCCGTGTGTGTATGCCTCAGACCTCCATGTGCAGCCTCACCTCCAGCCCCACGGCACACCACTGAGTTTGTAAAATAGTAATTTTTTTTTTTTTACTTTTTTTTTTTTTTTTAAATCAGTACCAGAGATCAAACTCATGACCATGTGCTTGCAAGGCAGGTGCTTATGCCTCTGAGCTAAATCCCCAGCCCATAAAATCATAATTTATTTTTAAATGAAATTAAAGAAATTTAACAGCTACCATTTTTCTTTTTAGATTCAAACTAAAGCTATGGACTCTTTTTTTTTTTTTTTTTTTTCTCTCAATGTGATGTAAACAAGCCAAGCCATTTTGCTCACGGCACTGGTTACAGTGAATGTCCTTACATTCACAGTCTGGGAATAAGCCTTTCCTTTCCATGAAATTCCGGTGTTCCTTAGCCCCTTGGAAGCCTTGCCTTCTGCTTTCCTTGTCTCTCTTTTGGAAAGAACTTTATGCAGGTGAGTGGTTTGTCAGCACTTGGTCCTGCCCTCCACCTTCTCTGAAGGTTACCTTAGGTGCGTGCGGAGTAAATGTTCCTTCCAGTGACTCCTGTAGCCACACCTAGAAAGTTATGCACTTCCTGGGCATTGCAAAAAGATATAAAAGAGCTGTGGAGAGTCAGGGAGAGACAATAAAGGCCTAAGGAGGAAAAGAGGAATTAATGTTGGAATCTGCAGAGCAGATACCACAAGACAGTCCTGAATACCTGGTGGCTGTGTTTGCCAATTTTAAACACAATACACTGAGATTAGAACATCTGACAAATAATTAAAACTCCCAGGTTTCCAAGCCAAAATAGTAAACCTCAACAATAAAATTTTTTTGTTTTCATTTTTACCAGTAGACTAGTCATAACAGTTTGAAACTGACCCAGGGAGACTGTTTCAGAAAGGGAATACAGCTGCATATGGTTTGTCACGGGAAATCATCTTTGACCCCCACAGTTAACTTTGCAGAGGGAATCCCCCATGTTTTGGCGGAGCCCGGCTATCTCCAGCAGTATTGTTTAGATATGCAGGACTCGATGGGAAAAATGTTTCAATACCAAATGGTCTGCACATGGTCTTCTATTTTTTTTCCTATATGCAAATGTGACCCTGAAAAGAGCCAATTAATTTAAGCCTTGCGTCAGAGCCGCACTTTCAGCTATCAATCAAGGATGATTAAGCTGCATGGATCACTTAACAATGAAATGACGACACATTCCTGGCATCTTTGACTAAATCAAACTAGTGGAAGAATGCATCAACTTCTTTTACTCCCCTTTTTGTCACCTCCCCAGTCTGTCCCTTAGTTTACTAAGAGAGCACATTCTTCTGCCCTTAGTATTCACTGGTGAATCAAAGGTGAGCACCTGAGAGCACGGCAGGGTGAGGGCGGACTCTTGCGTCTGTGAATATACATAAAAGTAGTCATACCTGCTTATGGTTGTGCCCTCTTTCCCCAGATTACCTTTGGTAGAGCCTTATTTGCATGAAGTTTGCAGAAGATGAAATTGTAGCAGTGTTTCCGGACATAGTGCAAGTCTAATCCTTTAATTTTGATATGTCTACTTTGGTAACATCAACAAAATTTCCATTCATTATATTTAACTGAAATAAAATCCTTAAAGATAAACCCTAGGAATATAAGCATTTGATGTTCAATACGAGAAGAATCCACGTATGCAGAGGATTCCAAGGAAGCCATCGAACCTCTCTGCTTAACAAAAGGTATCGTGTTTCTGAGTGCCGTATAAATATTGATATTCTTCACCCACACTCCCGGAAAGGGATACCAGGATCTGTTGCAAAATCCCACTCTTTCTGGCTTACATCATGGCTGCGTGACATCAGGTCTGAACACCTGCCAGGATGAACTGGAAGAGTTGGAATCTAACTTGTCAGAATCTGGCACTTCTGATCAGAAGGTGTCCACATCTCTGTCCCCTCCTTCAGCAGCACATTCAGAAGCATATTTCTCCAATTTGGTACAAAACTTCATCATTGAACCCATCAGTGCCCACCCCAGGGTGACAAGAGGCTGAACAATAAATTTTCTAAGAATGCCAAGAGTAAAATCATCTGTATCGGCAGCACAATGATTCCCCTGCCCAACCTAACCTGATGCAGATTCCAGGTTGTGGGCAACACCTGCAGCTCATGAAGAAACACTCCAGGACAAGGAATGTGGCTCTGAGATAACAGACAGCTGGGTGTTTGTCCAACACCTCGTGGCCTTTCTTTGTCATTTGGATGTCTCAGATATTGGAGCACAAGTCATCTAGATTGAAATTTGACTAAAACCAAGCTCAAGCAGCTACCAAAATAGTAGTGCTTTCAACCTCTAAAAGGCTGCCAAAATTCATATCTTTCTGGAAAGAGTGGTATCTCTAGGTCTTGAATGTGGCACAAAAATATTGATTTAATAATCCTTAAACAGTCAATTTAAAGCAACAGTGTAACAGCCAGCATTTACAAACACTTACACTGAAAGTTCTGTTTCTATTTAAGTAACCCTCCCCTGTGCATAAGTGAGGTGACGAGATGGCAGTACCCTTGTTCAGCATTCCATAGCTTTTAAGTGGTGGAACCAAAACCAGAACAGGCTAGATCCAATTCCAATGTCCCTCCTCTGTGCTCTAGAGGAGACCAACATATCTCCCAATATTTAAGGGAAAATATTTATGTTGTAAGTTAAGTTTTGGTGAACTTAGCAATGTACCCAAGTGATCTGTATGCAAATGGGAAATTATTTCCTTGGCAACACATAAAGTGACCTTTGTCATGGATTAAACAAAAATTTCCCACTGTCATTGGAGATTAAGAGACTCATTTCATCCCTGGGGCAGAGAGCCCCAGTAAACCCTGACCTGTGTCCTCAGGACTCAGGCATGAAGGGCCATGTGAGAATACCAGAGTTGCCCCACTTTGGGTGGCCAGGGATCTCTGGTCCTGTGTGACTTCACTGAGGCACGCCTGGCCAGGGTGGTGATGGAGAAGTGAAGCATAGGTGACTCTCCCATTTGCAGTCGGGCCTCTATGAACCCCTCCTCTTGCCTGCTGGATCCTGGCTTAATGTAGACTTTGGAGAGGAACAGTAAGTGGAGGTGACTGAGCTTAGGATAAAACCTGAAGACAGCATTCACAATCTATGCACTGCTTCGGCAGTCAGATGACCTATCTGTGACGTAGCTGTATGTTTAGCTGTGTGTGGCCTTTAGGATCTGATAGTCAGGTGAGTGTAGAAATCTGAATCCGAAGGTGACTCCATGCTCTCCGCTGGCAGGAGGATGTGCGTTGAAGTGTATAAGAAGATCTGGAGCACAGATGTATGCTTTGCACTCTCACAATGAGTGATTTAAATTAAGCCTGAATTTAGAGACCAAGATGTCAGGCTTCTTTTGAAAAACAAATGACATAAAGCACTGCTCTTATTTGCTCATACCTCTAGGACTATGTCCTCAACACCCAGCCATCTTCTGCTGGTCAGACCACCAATTCTGGCTCTCCTTGACCCTCTAAACTTGCAAACTTGGTTCTTGGATAATTTGGAGGTCTTTACTCATCTAAATTCTTCTGGAGCTAATCCCCAAGTGCCTATAGGGGGCCCTGTTGTACTGCCAACCCCCGCTTCCATATAAGACTCAGATCAAAGAATAGCCCAGGAACACACTCCCTGAAGAGCCCACACTCACCTGGAAGCTGGCAAGGTGGCACCTGGTGACTCAGACTCTGCCCTGCCCACACCCCCAACCACTCCCTGCTCTGGTCCTGGCGAGCTTTGCCTTCTCAGCACACCCTGCAGGTCACCTCCCAAACCACACAGTAACTCCTTTGCTAAGCACACCCAGTGGTTCTCCAAGCTTTCTGTTTTGCCTTTCCCACCTCCCCATGCCATCACTCTGCACCAGAGAAGTCCTCTGCTCCCTGGGGAACTCCACAGTGCCTGTCTATGTGACACTCTTCCTGTCCGCCAGAGTCCTGGGTAAGCTTCAAGAACTGCCTGCTTCTTAAAGGCTGTGTTACTTACAGATGTCATGGCTTCCTCCTTTGAACAACCTCAGCATCCTTTTAGCTTCTCCAGAAGTGTATTCATCCCACCACGTGTTATGGCAATTTATGTTGTTGGCTAAATTCCACGGTAACAAGAATAAACTTCCTTCCTGCAGTTCATGGCACAGACTGAGTGCAAGAGCCGGGGGAGCTTTTATTGGGAGCTATGACAAATCCTGGTTAACAGGAGTGCCTGGAATTTCACCTTCTGAGGTACAGCTCCCGCTGCCCCTTCCTGGCTGTCCTTCCCTAGTAAAGTTCCTTCACTTTTCTAAGGTCAGTATCTGCCATTTGTAGGAAGAGGATGCATGTGTCTCACTGAATGTTTGAGGGTAATAAGTGCTCAGTGCATGTGAGCTTTTTTATTGTGATTGTCTCCTGTTCTTTCAGATTAGGAAACTGAAATGTAGAAAGTCCACATAACTTGTTCAAGATGGCCCTCTGGCACATGGCAGGGCATGGATTTGATTCAGAGCTGCCCAGGTCCAGGCTCTGTGGTCTTCCTAGGCAGGTGAGCCCTTGGTACTGGCTCCACTGATCAGGGTACACTCAGCAGGGTACACTCTGGCCCCTGTTGTTTCATGTGGGGTCAGTGTTCAAACTCCCAACTCTTTCCTAGTGTGTCATTGGAGCTAAGCACTTTAACACATATGTGTCCCAGTAGTTTCCTTTAAAATGGGATCCCTTTAGGATTACTGCAACTCAGATGACTAGTGCCTATAGACACAGTGCCCATTCAATGCATGTTAGTTATAATCACTAAGCATTTGAAACCTATAGAGTTAATTTTAGTATGAAGTGATATGTTTCTAAAAATTGCACTGTGCACTTTGAGACCAAAAACTCCAGAGTTGGGCCAGGGATTTAGCTCAGCAACATAAGTACCTGTCTGGCAAGCACGAGGTCATGAGTTTGACCCCCAGTACCAAAACAAAACCAAACAAACAAAAAAACCCCAGGGTTTACTGGAAAATTGCAGTCAGAAAAAACATTATAAGAAGCAGGCATGATGGCACATGTCTGTGGTCCCAGCACTCAGGAGGCTGAGGCAGGAGGATTGCTGAGAGTTCAAGGCCAGCCTGAACTGCATAGTGGTAATCTGTCTCAAAAGAAAAAAAAAAAAAAATCAGTAACACATTAAAACCAAGCATCTAGGAAAAAAATTCCTAAAATTCATTTGGAAACAGAAGAGACCTAGAATACCAAAGGCAATCCTGGGCAACTAAGGCAAGGCAGAAGGCATCACAATCCCTGACTTGAAATTATACTACAAAGCTGCAGTGATAAAATCAGCATGGTACTGGAATAAAAACAGACAAGAAGATCAGTAGAACAGATTAGAAGACACAGATACGACTACAAAGACACTCAGACACCTTATCTTTGACAAAGGGGCTAAACATGTTCATTGTAAGAGATATAGTCTCTTTAATAGTGCTAGAAAAATTGGCTTTCCACATGCTACAGACTGAACTAGACCCATGCCTATCACCATGCACTAAACTAAAGTCAAAATGGATCAAGGGTTAAAATAGAAACATTAAATCTACTGGAAGGTAAGGTAGGTAGAAATCTTGAAGACATTGGGGTAGACAAAGAATTCATGAACAAAATGCATACAACATAGGAAATACTTCAAAGAATCAACAACTGGGATCTCCTATTATTGATAAGATTTTGCACTTCAAAGGAAATCACCAACAGAGTGAAAAAAAAAAAAAACACAGAATGGGAAAGAATTTTAGCCAGCAGTCCCTCAGACAAAGGACTTATATCCAGAACATATAAAGACCTGAAAAACATAAAGCCCCCCAAATTCAAAGACCCTCTCCAAAAATGGGCATCTGAGATGAACACACAGTTCTCAGATGAAGAAATACAAATGGCAAATAAATACATGAAGAGATGTTCACCATCACTGATCATTCAAAAAATACAAATTAAAACCATCTCATTCTAGAAAGAACCAAGAAATCAACTGATAGCAAATGTTGGCAGGGCTTTGGGGAAAAAGTAACCCTTCTCCACTGCTGGTGGAGTGTAGACAGGTACAACCACTATGGAAATCAGTGTGAAAATTCCTCAAAAAAATAGGATTGGAGGCCTCATTCAATCTAGCTATTCCTCTTCTGGGTATTTCCCCAGAAAAGTTGAAAATGTCTTGCTACAGTGCTATATGTGCACCCATGTTTATAGCAGCACACTTTGTAATAGCTAAATTTGGAAACCAACCAAAATGTCCATCAAGCACAAAATAGATTTTAAAAATGTGATATTTTTATACAATGGAATATTATTTAGATATAAAAAAGTATAGTCTTGAGACTTTTATGGGTACATTGAGGCAACTTGAGACCATACTCGTAAATGAAATAAACTCATATTTATGAATATCATATTGTCTCCCTTGTTTAAAAAGTAATAATAATAATAAACTGAAAGAATAATATTCAAATGTATACTAGATATTATGAAAGCATAAGATAATGCTGAAAAAGAAAAAAAAACTGGGGTAGGGAAAAGGACAAAAGGAAGAAAGGAAAAGATTACCTGTATGTGGGTGTACATATGTAAATGTGTGTATGTATATGTATGCAAGATAGACAGCTATACTACTGATCTCTGTTAGTTCATCAAGAACAGTTTCTGTTGTCATTGTTTGATCATTTTTATGCCTAGATCTGGTAACCTGAACAATTACTTCTAAGATAAAAATATGCAAAATATTAACCAATGTTAATTTCCTACCTTTTTGGGAAATTCTGTATCATTTTTATCCTTTTTTCTGCTTTTCTTTAAAAAAAAAAAACATACAGCAGAATGGTGGCTGCTGAGGGAAGAGGGAGGGTTAGGGAATTGATCCTTAAATGCGGAGTTTCAGACTGGCAAGTGGAGGAAGTTCTGGAGAGTTCTTTCAGTGTGATGTAAATATACCTAACACTACTGAACTACACTTTAAAGTGGGTATGGGGATCTGAACTTTGTCTTTTCATGAATTATCTCCATATGGGCTTTTCATTTGGAATTACTGGTAATTTCCATTTATTCTGGAAGCATGCACAAAAACATATAATTAAGTCTCTGATCCATGTCCCATTCACTTGAACACCTGATTTTGAAGATTATATAGAAATGTCCCTATTATATAGTTTTAGTCATCAGTGGTATTTATGCTTTTAGAATTCTGATTCTGGAACTAACTTCCTGCATTAATAATATTAAGGATCACTACTTTAAGTACACAAATAGGAAGATGCACAACAATTATGTCTACATCGACATCCATGTATGTTTGCAGCACCTCCAAATATCAACAGCTTGCTTTTGAGCAAGGGAAGTAGAAATCATATTGCATTACAAACACTAGCTTGGAAAAACTAAAAATATGTAACCACATATGAGTTATTACCTCCTTGATTTTGAAATATTCGTTTCCTGATAATATAGTACATACATCAACAAAATTACACGCATGAAAAGGCTACAAATTGAGAACACCATTATTAACAGTGTGACAAAGTCTCTACTATCTGTTATGCTTCAGAACAATATTTTGAACAAAATGAATGAATTAAATTGTTGGTTTTAATGAAGAAAAAAAAAAAAAAAAAAACGACACCCAGTGAAAATAGTGATACAGTCTTACATATTATAGATGGCTGAGACAGAGAGAAATAATCCAGTAAATGTGACCCTTTATTTTGACAAAGACCAGCAGTCCACTGGACCAAGTGGGTGTGAGCAGAGTGTCTTGTGAGTTACCCTCAGACAGTAGGAGGGACACTGACATAGCACAGAGCAAGGAGATAGAGGATAGGACCAGCCTGGTACCCGGCACATGGGTGTGAGTGGGGAGCATGTATGTGCCTGGGCTTGCATTGCTCAGCTCAGGCTTCCTGTACCATCTAGCGTTTGTCCCTGATGGAATTGCACATAACCAAACACAGGACTCCTGTCATGTGCAAACCCCCTCTAGACTGCAATACACTCCAGCTTTCAAAACAAGCATTGAAACAGAACTCACTGCCCCTCAAAATGACCCCAGTCTTTGGAGTTCCACCTCAGCTTTAATTATGACTATTAAATATTCAAAATCTTATTATTATATGGGGCACTGAATACCTTGGGGAGGGGGTTATCCTAACCCAAATTTCTCCAACAAAATTTTAGCAAGAATGCCAAGGACACAATTCCAGTGCCTCATATTACTGTGCATAAAAGTTTCTGTTATGGTTTTGTTCTTTTCTCTGTCAAGCAATAAGTGAATAGAAGTCCAAATGACTGCATTTTCCTGCTAACAAGCTAATACTCCGTGTGCTTTGCTTTGCACTCCAAGTCTATTGACTCCCTGTGAGGAGTTCCAGTTCTCCCTCCTTTCCTCACAGCTTACTCCCCTGCCCTTTTTCACCCTCTGAGAAAACTGTTACTCAGAACCAAAATAGCTAACATGGTGCAGGAGGAAACAGCTCTACTTCCTTCAGTCGTCTATACTGGCAGTAAATTATCTGGAATGGGCTGAGGGTGTAGCAGAGACAGCAAGTGCTTAGCATTAAAGAGACCCCAAGTTTAATCACTGACATCCAAATTTAACTACAAAAACAACACAAAGTAAGCCCGAACTGCACATGGGCCAGCAGGGAGAACTGCTTCAGAATTAGTAGAATATTCAATACAGAGAAAGGGCCATCACACAAGAAAATTCATAAGAAACAAGAGAGCTAACCTCGGTGTGTACTGCTGTCCTCCTCCTTGAGCCTGAGACATGTAACTGCCAGGGTGCGAGCTCTCCAGGTCAGCTGGGCACATCCATCATGTCCATCTGCCGGAGGCCCAAAAGCCTCCTGCCACAGAGGAGGAAACCTTCAGAACTGGCTCAAACCTCTGAACTCAGGCTTTTTCCACTGCTTTGTTCCTGCAAGACCAGGGAGATAAAGGTGTGCTATAAGAAGTTTTTGCTTTTGTTTCTTTGTTTCTGCCTTTTCAGCATCCTGCCCTTCTGAAGGCAACTCCAGTTTCGTGCTGGGTGCTATCTTCCTTTACCCACAGTGCACCTGGTCCTGGGGCATCGGAGCACACACCCCTCCTGCTGTGTCAAAATTAACAGGCAGCACTCTGTCTAAAATAGACCAAGGGTGATTGGCCTTGACATGGTTACTGGAACTCTTTGTTGGGCTGGACTCTTTCAGATTTAGTTGGTAAATTAGCAAAATGAAATCTCAAATTTTTGAAAGACCACCAATGCCAGCAAAATAACCTGCTCCAGAATGAAACAATACCTGAGAGAAGCTGCTAGATTCCTGATGGCAATGCTTGAGCCCCTGATTCAAGCCATGCGCTATCCTTGGACTTGTGTAGATAACTGAGCTGGGACCTAAACATGGAGCATCTCCCTCAACCATCAAATTCAAAGAGTAGAGCTGAAATTTTTTGACCTTAGAGGTTTAGTAAGACATATACACAGTTTCACTTTTCCCTACAGACTCAACGTGTCTTTCTTTTTTTAATGAAAGTTCAGAGTTATTTGCACATTCAATGGGTGCCTGAAAAGTACTTTGTTGGTGTTTTGGCTTGGGAGGCTTTGCGTGTTAAGTGTTATAACTTGTAACCCACGCGGCAGTGCTGTGTGTGTGCTTCCCAGAGGTTCTCACGAGTCCTGCACACAGACATTGTGAATAATTAGTTGGTAACCTTAGAAGTTGGTGGCAATTTTAGATTAGAGCACTGGCTATCAACATATATCAAAGACTTCACCGCTCATCCTGCCCATTGGTTGAGAAAACAATGCAGTGTTTCGGCATATGGGTAGAATTTATGGCAAAGGTTTCTGATGGGGCTGCTCACACCCAAGGCACTGTGCGCTGTAATTGGATTCTACACTATTTTAAAGGTTTTTATTCCCTGACTGGCTCATAGAGTTGGTAGATGTGTTAAAATTTAATAAAACACAACAACTTACAGTAGATGAACTATCTTAGCTGAATCTGTAATAAAGTCAATAATGTAAAGCCTTGTTAAAAAAAAATGCTGGTATAGATGCAATGAAAGGGAAGAAGGAAGAAGTCCACCGAGCTTCAAAAGCTCTCTCCTAAAAGGAACTCTCCTGCACTGTTGGTGGGAGTGTAGACTAGTGCAAACATTGTGTAGGTCAGTCTGGAGATTTCTCAGAAAACTAGGACTGGAAGCCCCATATGACCCAGCTATAACACTTCTAGGCATATTCCCAGAAGAACTGAAAGCATCATAACACAGTGATACATGTGCACCCATGTTTATAGCAGCACAATTTGCAATAGCCAGATCTTGGAAACAACCTAAGTGTCCATCGACTGAAGAATGGATAAAAAAAGTTGTGGTATTTTATACAATGGAGTACTACTCAGCTATAACGAATGACTGCTTTGGGACATTTATAAATAAATGGACACAGCTTGAAACCATACTCATAAGTGAAATAAATCAAACTCACATGTATAAATTCTGAATAGTTTCCCTAGTGTAAGAAATGATAAGAATACATAGAAGTATGTAGTAATCATGATTCCCAATCATATTGGTTTGAAGCCATATAATGTTTTCACTCATTAACCACAATGGTTTTAACCTGGGTTGTTCG